GAGTTTCGACTGGAAAGCTGGTTTTATTCCGGCCGATGTGGTATTTTCTTCGTTTACTCGACAACATTTTGTTTTTTTCGGTACCAGCTCTCCCTCCCGCGATGTCTAACCGTCCCTCGCATTCGTATACATTAGTTCATCTGCAATATCCACGAACAACTAGCGCATTGTAGATAGACCAAAATTCTTGCTGCAGTCCGTCAGCGATGTTGGTGGCCGGATGATCGGCGGAACGTAGTCGTCTTCTGTCAGAGGCGTCAGACGCGCGCTCAAATCAAAGATCCCGTACTGCATCCACGGGCAACACTGGTCGAAGAGACCCGAGAGCACTTTAAGACGACTCAGTTAGGATTTTGCTTAAGGTGGCAGGGGACAGGTCGATCCTAGGGGAGGAACCGCTCGAATTGAACCGAGTACGAGACATCGTGAGAGGAACAGTCTGGGCAGGGCGTACGTGTAGCAAAGGGAACGAGCGGAAATAAATTGTAAAAAAAACAAAAATAGAGCAATGGGGTAAAATAAAATGAAAAAGCTGCCACGAAATATGGCAACTTAGAAGGACCTAATTAGTAGGTACCGCATGGATCAACACACATAAAACTCCTATCATAAGACAGAATGCGGACACTCTGAATGATACAAAAGTATAATAATGATGGAATAACAAAGGGTTCTCAAATCACACAGTAATCGAAAAGGCTGATTATAACAATAAGGATACAAAGAGTTAGCAACTGATATAGCTTGGATATACTGCAATCACGACATGTCGAGATGGGGCATGGAGTGCGTTCATTAGCTAATATATTTTACTGATTTTGTTTCTTATAGGCCGGCGTGCTGTGGCTTGCACGGATGCCTGAAGTGGAACGGACGAACCTGAAGCGTTTATCCTTGGTTTGTTTTAACGTTCGTCTCTCAATTTTTCACTTTTTGAGAATTGGCGCTCGGAAAGCACGTTTTGGTACTTGTCCCTAACGTCACCGACATGCCAGCCCAGTACGCTTTTCTTAAGTCGGTTCTATATACTTATGCCATTCACCCTGCACTAAACTGTTCCATGTCAAATTTTCTGCTCGTTTTCGTTATTATTTCTTAACACTGACGAGTTTTTCACTCCACTGCGGTACGGGATGTTTACCTGCACTTAGATTTACCTTTTCCTATTTACCTAAAATTATTTTTATACAACGACATTTAACTATCATCCTCAAGACTCCTCGTTTTTCTATTTATGTACCTAACTGCACAATGTTAGATACGTTTAGGAATACGTCTGATTTGTATGATGAGATGGACCGCATTTTAGAGGAGAATAAATCGAGGTCGGCGCTTGCGGATCATATATTCGTTACTTCTACAGTACCGGAACGGAGTAAAAAACTCATCAGGGTCATGAGCAATAGTAAGGCGAACGTACAGAAACTTCGGCAGGAAATGGTTTTGTATAGGGTGAATGGAAGAAGTATCCAGAGCCGACCGAGGAAAACGGAACTGGGCTGGAATGTCGCCAACGTTAGGAACAAGTACCAAAACGTGTTTTCTGAGAGTCAACTCTGAAAAAGTAAAAGGTGAGGAACAACCATAAAATAAGCCGAGGATAGACGGTGCAAGTTCCTCCGTTACAGAAGGGCACCAGCCCGATTCACGGCTTCCTAACGCAGAAGTGGCATCCGCCTGGTGCCTGTCTAA